TTCCAGCTCCCCAGATACTCCGCGTACTAAAGTTGTACTACAAAGTCACCAGTTCTCATCTTCCAGCTCCCCAGATACTCCGCGTACTAAAAGTTGTACTACAAAGTCGCCAGTTCTCAGCTTCCAGCTCCCCAGAGACTCCGCGTGCTCAAGTTGTACTAAAAAGTCGCCAGTTCTCAGCTTCCAGCTCCACAGATTGCTCCGCGTACTGAAGTAGCACTAGAAAGTCGCCAGTGCCTGCATTTCGCGCACTCGGCACGCACGATCTCCGCAGATTGCGCGCACACCGGACAAATCGCACTCTCGCCTGCATTTCGCGCACTCGACACGCACGATCTCCGCAGAGGGTTGCGCGGGCACCCGGCAAATCGCACTCTCGCCTGCATTTCGCGCACTCGACACGCACGATCTCCGCAGAGGGTTGCGCGGGCACCCGGCGAATCGCACTCTCGCCTGCATTTCGCGCACTCGACACGCACGATCTCCGCAGAGGGTTGCGCGCACACCGGACAAATCGCACTCTCACCTGCATTTCGCGCACTCGACACGCACGATCTCCGCAGAGGGTTGCACTTTCGGTTGATGCTGTTTGTCCCGCACTCCGCCTTTAAGAGAGAACTTATAAAGTGGGAAAATGTTTTTCATTAGGACATCTCCCGTGCTAGTTTTCCATACTCACACTTGCCTACTCATTGCATGCTTGCATAGTCATTGCATGCTTGCATACTCACCCTTGCATATCATGCTTGCATACTTACACTTGCATACTTTGACACTGGCATACTTCGCACTTGGATGCTTTCGCTCTTCCAGTGTGTGTGTGTGTGTGTGTAAGTGTGAGTGTCGAAGTGTAAGTGTCGAAGTGTCAGTGGTCAAAGGATTTTCCGGAAGAACCCTTCGCAATGCTTTCGGGAAAAATAGGTTCCTTCGATTCCTTTGAGTGGAATGCTGGTCAAACTGCCGGCCGCTCGATATTCCAGAATATAATAAGCATATCGCAGTTTTCATGAAATGCTTCCAAAGTTGCCGCCATTTGTTCTCCTTTTTGGGCCCAGCCAACCGCACGGGTCCTGCCTGTGTTGGCACCAAGTTTCAAAGCATTCAGTATCAAGACTTTGCCACCTTAACACCCGCCGCCGTAAAGCCAAGGCTGCTAAGGTGCGATTTTCTTGGCAAATGCAGACCTTATCAATGCGTGCTCGCCGCCTTGCGAAACCTCGGATGTGGAGAGCAGCTGCACCGGAGAGCAACGCATACGTTTCTCCACAATCGGGGACGAAAGTCCTTACAACCTACCAACAAAAACGTCAGGACCCGATCAAATGTTTGACAAGATGCTGGAAATACATCCCAAAGCAACCATGCGATGGCCAATCTCCGTAGAAAACCGCCTATAGGCGTCACCATGGCAAAATGGCCACCAAAGTCATGTGTCCCACTTCACGGACGCTTGAGCCACCGTTGGTGCGAAAATCCACCCCAACAATCTGTAATACCCTAACTACCCCGCTGCCACTCCATATTATATGCTACGATCATCAACGGCTGTTTTCTATTATGTACTATATACTTTTGACCGCTCCAAGGGTTTTTTGTACAAAAGTCTGAGCAACTCCGAATGCGGATTGTGTAGCACAAACCGCCCTTGAAACCCCAACTGTGCTCGCCACAACCAACACAACACAAGGACCCGAGGGAAATCACTCCGCAACACCCACTGCCTCGTTGAAGGTTCCTCAGGATTGGACTGTTCGGCCAGGTGCATACAGAAGTCAGTTCAAAGGCAAAATGGTCAACAGAAGGTAGTTTTGAAGGCAAAATTTGTCTACAGGAGGCAAGTTTACAGGCAAAATTGTGCACAGAAGGCAGTTTTAAAGGCAAAATCGTTTAGAGACGTAGCCCACATCATCGGAACCAGCGAGGTTCCAATCATGCGCAAATGTCGTATCGGCACAAATGCTGCATACTGAATGACCCACACTGGAGGAAACCAAGCGCGCATCTTCCACTGAGACTGGTCCCAAGAACATCGACTGTCAGCTGAGCTGGTTCAAGCACAAAGGCTGTGATCTTGAAAAACACCCTTCCAACCAAACCTCAAACAAGAAGTTTCTGCGCTGCGTGAAGCTTATGAATGATCGGCGTCACCTCTTGCGTGAGGTTCGTTCGTCAGCGTTGCTTCCAAAGATCCTTTTTCAGTGGGTTTTCCTTGAGCTGCTCGCTGAACAGACCCACAATTTGTTAATGTGCCCTTCGGTCTCGTCAAAATTCGAAAAATTTATGTATGTATCCTCCACATCTACCCAGGTAAAAATGCATACTCGAACAGGAACAGGCTTGAAGCCACTTTCCTCCGGTGCGTATGTATATGCAAAGCACTCATCGCTGTTCATGTGATGTCGTGATGACACGCACAAATCGAGAACACCGCAGGCCCTTTTGCAGTACCAAAAGGTCCGCATGGTAGCGGAGCCGAGGATCACCATTCCGGAAGGTCTGGTGTGAGGCTCCAGGACCGAGCTACATGGATCTTGGCTGACAGGCCACGTCCTTGCCTCGAGGTGCCTGAGGCCATAGCGGCTGGCAATCAGAGCCAGAGGGATCTTGGAGAAGGAGATCGGCAATCACTGCTAGAGACTCCCTCGAGGTGAAGATCGCTTGGAAGAGAACGAGGGCACTTGCTTGCACCTTTTTTGGGGGGGGCCTCGACCTGAACATCCTGGACTTTGAGAACATCGAGCTCTACGATGACGGGGCAAGGAGGAGACCAGCCCAAGCGGTTCTGGATGGCGCTGAGGTCGCCCGGAGGATGATGCAAGCTACAGAAGCCACAAGCGGATGGAGAGTTCGTCAACGACTTCAAGGATCTTCGGGAACGCCCTGAAAGGCCAGTGGACCCTTCCGTATGGGGCGATCGAGAGAAGCAGAGGAGCAACTTTCTCTATTCCATCCTGGCGCCCTTGGTGAGGCAAAGGCCATTGGCTCTGATCAAACAGGTCAAACAGGCCAACGGACTGGAGGCTTATAGATTGTTGATCAACAGCCTTGAACCAGCAAGCAAAAACCGGTCGTTAGGGCTACTGACCATGATCCTGGAGTGGAGTGCCTTTGACAATTTGATGGGAAGGGCAACCTGCTCAATCAGTTGCTCAAATTCGAGGAGGCCTTTGGGGAATACGAGCGAACAGGCATGAAGCTCGATGACACCATCAAGTTCGCGGTCCTCATGAGGTGTGTGACTGGGCAATTGAAGACCTGGCTACAGCTGAATGTGGCCGAGACCCAGGACTACAGCAGACTGAGAGAAGCCATCATACAGTATGACAGTGCCACGCTGAAGTGGAACAATGCCATGATGTTGGGCCAGGAGGTGAACAAGGATGGTGCAGTTCCCATGGAGGTCGACAGGATCATGGAGAAAGGGAAATTTGGTAAAGGCAAGGGTGAGGAGAACCCGAAGGGAAAAGGCAAGGGCGAACAGAAGGGCGGCAAGCAAGGAGGCAAGGGCAAAGGCCAGCAGAAGGGCCAAGACCATGGAGGTGGTGGCAAGGGCCAACAAAAGGGTTCATGGAAGCAGGAAAGCCTCACAACCTGTGAAGGAGTGCTCCGCATGTGGCAAACCAGGCCATCTAGCCCGAGATTGTTGGAGAAAGGTGAGACATGTGGTGGACAGCCAAGGCTCACCAAGTGATACTGCCACCACGGTGACAACAAGCTCAAGCCAGGCAACAACCACGAAGCATCCTGGCATCAAGCGGATTGAGTTTGTGGAGGAGGATGTTTCACAAGTTGCACGAAAATTCGATGAGGTGATGATTTTTTACCTGAGGCCGAACACAGGTGATGGCACTGTTCGGATGATCAGGTTCTATCACTTGGCGGCTGAGGACAAGGACGATGAGGACAACTCTGAGGGAGAGCTGACCTATGGCGTCAGGGTGGTGCAAGATGAGGAGGAGGAGGAGGAGCAGTACTTCAAGAACCATGAGGGACTTTGTCAAGTGATCCTGGACTCGGGGGCCGATGCTACCATCCTGCCTGCTTCCTACCTGCGAGCAGGTTCAGAGTTGTTGGAGAAAGCACCACGGCTTCAAGACGCTCAGGGTGAACGGATTCCCATCAAGGGCTACAAGAACGTCAGCTTTGTCTTCACAGCAGGGGATGGAAAAACAATCCTCATCAGGGAGAAAGCGCACTTTGCTGAAGGCATCTCCCAACCTATCATCTCCTACGGCAAGTGGATGGAGAGTGGATGGGGGATAGATGGATGTGATCATGCCCTGGTCGTTGGAACAGGATGAGGAGGCCAAGTTCGCATACCATTGAGGTTGCAGAACAAAATCTTGGTGGCTGACTGTCATGTACGTGCCATCGGTGCTGGAGCTCACATGGAGGAGGGCCTGAAGGCACGGCTGTTGGACGACTTGGAAAGGAAAGCCAAGTTTCAGAGTGATTGGAAGCAGGATGGGGAGACGTGGATTGGGGATGATTGGGGTGTGCACCCGGCCAAGAAGTACCAGAGCCACCGATCCATGGGAGCAATCTCAGAGGCCACACCGTGGAGGAGGACCACTTTGATGAAGAGTGGGCAACAGTGGCTGCTCATGGAGATGTGTGAGGACTTGCACTCCATGAAGGATTAAGAAGAACCTCTCGAGGGAACTGAGGAGAATGTGATGGTGATAACGATCCTCACAAAGGAAGGCATGACCACAGAGCAGGTGGGTTTCGAGGTGGATGCCGAGATCAAGCCACCAGCAGAAGTGATAGAGGCCAGGGAGCATGAGATCCCGATAGATGAGCCCAATCAACCTGGAAGCCCTGATGAGGGTATGCAAGAAAGGCAAGAAGGTGAAGCTGAACAAGAAGGACGCCTTGTGGTGGGCCAGCAGCTTCCAAAGAGCAGCATTGTCAATGAGGTGGAACTCAGGCCGACCTCAAGGTTGAGAGAATTGAAAGCTGCCTGCAAGTGCTTCCAACGACTGGTTAGCCATGTGAGGGAGGCTGAACTGAAAGCAGCTTCTGAAGCAGCGGCAGCAGCTCGAACGCAAGAGTCGCGAGAACCACGAGGCCAAAATCTCATCCCAGGGGCTGGACCGGAGGAGCAGGAAAGGCATTGCCTGACACATACCCCATATGCTCCTTGGTGCGAGGCATGTTTAGTTCATAGAGGACGACCAGACAGGCACCAACGGACGTCAGCCTCGACTTCTGCTACACGAAGGCGGGAGTGGTGGACCGAAATCCGCAGGCATTGGACCGTGGAGAGATGGAGCGTGAGGAGGTGATTGATCTTTTCGGTGAGGGAGAGCAGCAGGATCATGGAGAGAGAGAGAGAGAGAGAGAGACAGCAACCACCATTACGTGAGGTGAAGGCGGCTATGTGGCTCATGCTGGTGTGTTCGCAAGCTGGTGCATTGGGAGCTGTCCCACTGAAAGGACAGCACAAGATCCACTTGATGGCAAGGGGGGTGATGACCTTCATCCAAGGTCTGGGACATACCGAAGTGGGAATCTACAGTGACAATGGCCGTACGCTTCGATCCGTGCTGAGAATCATACTCAACAGCAGACAGGCCATGGGCCTGAGGACCAAAATCTACACCACGAAGGTGATGGACTCCGCAAAAATATCCTGGCTGAAAATGCAATCCAGCGGGTAAGAGGCTTAGCATGCACCATGATGGAGGACCTGATGAGCCGCACTGGATTGAAGATCAACACAAACCATGGTCTTCGGAGTTGGGCAGCAAGGCATGCATGCTGGACACTCAACAAGTATCAAGCCTCGAGAGGAATCACAAGCTTCGAGTTGGTCCATGGGAAACCCTATGATGGTTCTTCCCTTTCGGTGCCCGTCCTATGCCTACAGCAAGCCCCAAATCGGGCAAAGGAAATCCTAAGTGGAGATTGACACTCCTCATCGGCGACAAGATGCCTACATTAGATGAAGGTGAGGAACTACCCTCATTGGAGGAAGTTGGCGAGCCGGCCCCAAGGGCCAAGGCAAGGATTGCAAACGCCACCAGCTCCTGAGAGTCAGTCTGGTGATGAGGGCCCTACAAGAGTGGAAACCCTGGTGGTTGAGGCACGGCCATGGAAGAGGAGTCATGAGCCATAAGGACGAATCCTCAAGAAGACACCACCACCAACTACGGCGGTGAGGGTGGAGCCTCAACATAAAAAGGCTACAGCGGAGGAGGGGAGTGCAAAAAGGATGAGAAAGGGTGAACCAGCAAGAGGTTCCGGAGGAGCTTCATCATCAGCGGCAGGGGGAGACACCTATCTGGACATTGTGAACGTCGCATGGGGAAAGCCCAGGTGGGTGAAGAGGAGATGTATCACCTGGACGAGGTCATTGACGTTGAGACCATTGAGGGGCACTTTGACGGTGGTGACAAGGAGAACCCAATCCCACATGGAGTTTGGAGTGATGAAAAATTAAGCAGAACGCCGCC